TAACATTCGAATCATCTATATGCAATAGTAGGAACAGTGCCTTTATTTAAGATTTACTTAATACCTAAAACTATCATGATTGATAGTTCCCTATCTTAATCTATATTACCATTAATTATTTATCAGTCACGAAGAATGGTAAGTAAACATTCGTTAGTAGATATACCTACCTATAATTATGTGTAGGCAGTGGGTAGATACTCTCGCATAGGGTGGTTGTGAAAGTAGAATTCATTAATAAAGGAGGCGGTCGCAACTTAACGATGCTTAATCCTGTTACTTACCTAAACCATCACTCTAATAGGAAAATGATTGATTGAAAACGAGTCCACGTGGCTGTGGCTGAACAAATTTATTACAGGCCTACTTGGTCGGCATAATTTTTAATCATTAATTCGAGAGATGATTCAATTTGGTAACGAATTGTCGGAATATAATCGAGCAAGTATTCTTGTCCCTTCTTCTGAATTCGTCACTCTGACTTACGCTTAAAGTGTATGTTTTCAGATAGTGTCTGGCGGAAAAGCTTGCAACTCAATGTGAAAAGTAGTAATCGTTAATTATAAATATGTATAATTAGCTTTTATTCTCAATTTCGTGCGAATAGTATTTGGTAGTATATAAGTACATTAGTATTTATTATTATTTTTCTGTATATACAAAATATACCGTGCCTAATTAATTGATATACTATTTAAATATATAATTCTAACGTTGTATGTACTCCTAAATAGTAAATAAATTATACAGTTATATTATTGACTAACTGAAAATACACAATATACGTGAAGGATTGCTAATTGTTACAAAGAAAGGTATTTCGTTACACGAATAATTGCTGCTTAGGTAATACATATGTATCTACATTTTCTACGACAGTGTGTTTAGAGCGCCATTTGATATCTAATGGCTAAAGACCGGGGGTAGTAACATCATTACTAACAATATACCTTAACAGGTTGACTTCCACGCGGTTCTCCCTGGAAACCATCGTGGTCAATTTTTGATAAATTAATCACGATGGGCCAACTGATCGGGCACACTGCTTTCATCTTCACTTATCATCCCTTACTGAGGGGAAGGGTTGTTAGTTACGAATTTTAACAGCTGCATTACTAGCAATATAACCTATCAGGTCGACCTCCACGCGGTTCCCTCTGGAAACCATCGTAGTTAATTTCTTGTTGAATTCTTCACAATGGGCCAACTGACCTGCTTTCATTCTCACCTATCATCTATCAATGGTGGTCCGTGAGTGTATACCGATAGCACAGGCGGGATTACTGTCCAATATCATCCATAAAAAAATGTCAAAAATAGGACTAATTCATATTAATTCCTAAAGCTCTTAACAGTACCAGTGCCAAGTGAAGGTATTGAAGTTTGGCAACATTGCATTTGGTAAATAGTTAATTTTCAAAAACAAAGAATTTTAATATTTCTGTTTGATTATTTAATAAGTGCTTTGACGGTGAATAAAAGATTAATCATACAATATATTACATATAAATCTACCACTAAAACATTGCACCTATTTAATATTTTGCTCTGGAATTTTTTTAATTACTTTCTATGCTATTAAAATCAACGTTTTCAGTTACAGCTAATATTTTTTTTTATTTTAATAAAAAATATTGTTTTTGGCTTATTAAGACGACATCGTATAAATTTTTTTAACATATCTATTATGTTCAATTTTAGTAAGGTAATATACGAATAATATAGTGGATAATAAGAAAAAAATAATAACACGGTTCACGGTAAACATTACATTATAAAGAGTGCGTCGTTAATCTTCAATATTGTACCTATATATTTTTTAATGAAAGAAAATCCCGCCTACTTTATGATTTAGTTATTTATTCTTATGGTAGTTAGCTGGCGGAGTATACCTGCGAGGGATGGTAAGTGAGCATAAAATCTAGTTATTTGATCAACTGTGATGAAATTATCCGATAAGTTTTTAGGAAATTATTCCTAATAATCTCTCTTAGTTAAAAAATCTGTAGAACAAAAGTATTATATAATAAAGAGAATTTAATACAATTTGTCAAATTTATTTTACCATGTACTAGAATAAGAGAAGGGAAGCATGAAAGGAAATCTTATATCAAAGCTGCTTGGCTAGTATGGTAATAATAAATAATGTCCGCCTCTTGTAAGAACCTTATACAGTAGTAGAACTCTAATGGCTAGTTATTGATTATGGATGGACGGACTCTTCAATTTATTTTTTATTTATTTACTATACTTATTTTACCACCTGCATCCACTGACTCCCTGCAATGCATTTCAGGTCGTCACTCCATCTAGTAGGGGGTCATACTACACTGCGTTTAAACGTACGCGGTCGCCACTCAAGAACCTTTCTTTCCCATCTGTTGTCGGTTCTTCGAGCTATATGACCAGCTCATTGTCACTTCAGCTTGCTTATCCTTTGGGCTATGTCGGTTATTTTAGTTCTTTTGCGGATATCCTCGTTTCGAAGTCTATCACGTAAAGAGACTCGAAGCATAGCTCTCTCCATAAGCCGCCGAGGAACTTACAGCTTTTGCATACGGGCAATCGTGTAGTACCATGTTTTGGTTCTATAAGACATCATTGACAATACGTAGTGATTAAAGAAAGACCTTTGTCTTCAAATTCTGAGGTATTTTGGATAAAAAGGTGTGGTGTAGTTTCTCGAACGCTGCCCAGCCGATTTGGAGACGTCGGTTGACCTCTCGTTCGAAATTGGACTTACTCAATCGGACAACTTCTCCCAGGTGTACATACTCATCGACAACTTCGAGCGTAGTGTTCTCAATCGTAACCGGTATATGTGTGACATGGGCCTTAGATTAAGACCTACCTGTTGAGAAACACTATTGATGTCATTGAGCATAGTATTTAAATCCTCCAGAGATTCCGCCATAATTAGGTACTATGTTCCTTTGTACCTTGTTGTACGGAACCCTAAAAAGACCTTGGGGTAATTTTTGTTAAGTAATTATTACATTATATGAAACAAAATCAAACAAATGAAATATATATATCAAATAAATGAAATTTGGCGAAATAGTAAATTGCGCGTTGATCCGTGTGGATATTTATCGAATATACGTTCTTTTATTATTTTTGGTACTTTAATGTAATACAAACCTGTTGTAATATTTTATATTTTAACTTTGTTGTAACGTACATTCTTAACACACGAACTGAATTCTTTGCGATGTCACATCTTTGATGTATTGATCTACCTACCTACTAGGTGAATCAAGATATTTTTTAACATATTATTCTCATACATCAATATCCATCAAACTTGAAGAAAATGGGTTTCAAATAATATTAGGCATATTCACTAGGTGGGTATTATGTTCTTTTTTCGCCAAGAGGAATGTCGTTTAGACATTCTTTAACCTGATGACATGTAGTATGAGAACGATAAGCAAACGGTTATCTTTCCCTTCATAGCAGCGTTCGATCTTTCTTTATTAGTTAAAAAATGGCAAAGTTATCGAAGTGTTTCTTATGAGCTTGTCCCACTCGTACTTCGAGCGTAAAAATACCCCATATCTAATTCATCATAATTTTTTTACATTATACTTTTTGAACCTTTTTTAATTTATTTTTAAATCCTTCAAAATATTTCTTTCTTTGACAGAGGTGAATTTTGTTTTTTACAAACTTACTATAGCTAATAAAAATTTGTCAAGTTTTTGACATAATTTTTCTATAATTGTTTGTGGCAATTTTGATCTAATTTTATTGTGCATTTGTTAAATAGGTTCTTAGATAAAGTTTAAATTATTTTTATATTCAAGCTATGCAAGTCAAATTGATAGGCAACTAGGCGATGACATCTAGGTATAATATACTTATTTAAAACATAATAATACATATCTATAAATCAATTTTACATACACGTCACGTTTAACGAAAGGCCAAATAAGATTTCCTTTGGGTCTCGGTTCATTTATTGAAAACGTAAACGGGAAGGCGACATTTATTACGCATGACAGGTATTTGACAAGGACTTTGGAAACTTTTCGATGTTATGATTATTTTAGCAAAAAATTCAAAATAATTTTATCTTATTCACTCGGACCCTATATTGGAGTATAAGGGTAATTACATACCTACTAAACTTTTATTGAAGCTATTATTTCGTTAATTTCTAGCGATTAAAATGTGTAAAAATACGATCTCCGTTTTTTACTGTCAATTAACATGGCTCCCAATCCGACTTTGATGCGATAGCACCTACTTTTCACTCTTTGTAATATACTTAACAATCCTTACTCTCCATCTTATCTTCGCTCTCGATTTTATATCTTGCCCCCTCCTTTATATGCAATGCGTGCTTGCCAAGTTCAGTCCAAGGTGCTTAAACTTTTTAGTTGTAAGACATTTTTTGGGAAATTGCTTCTCATTTCGTGCTGAGCAATTGTAGAATAGATTTTCTTCACATATATATTTATACAGGTAACCCATTCATTACTTCCTTCAACATAAATTAAGAATTTGATTCGCAATACCAACTTCAATCGTGATAAAACTAGTTATTATGATATAAAGATTAAACTACTGAACCAATTTTGATAGAATGTCTATGGGATCTGAAAGGATAATCTTTCAGATAATAAATCCAAATCGATCTATAAATAACGGAGTTATGACGTAACAAACAAAAAATACATCCGAATTGAGAACCTAAGTTACGTATATATATATATATATATATATATATATATATATGTGTTACCATAAGTTTAAAATATTCTAGTAAAATATAAGATTTACGAGCTGTTAAGTAGGTATACTTATGATCTAAGCAAAACTTGAATGATTTATTATTATTTATATGAAACGCACTAGACTCCAAGAGCTTCAAAAGAAAAAGAATTCTGTAGTGCATTAAAAACAAAGGTTCAATGTGTTTGGACTTGTCACAGATTCATATACAATTCTGTTTTGAAGAAAAAAATTGGGAATTTATTAGAAAAGAAAAAAAAAACTTGGATAAAATTCGTTTATTTAAAAGGTTGTGTCTCACCACAGTAAACTTACAAGTAATTTTATTTACAGCTGTGCTTATTTCCTATATTGTTTAATAACTAAATTAAGTACAAAAACAATGTACCTATTTAGGTATGTAGAGCGAAAAACTTCAAGAGAATAATTTACGTAGGTACCTACCTAAGGCTATTTGTAATTAAATAATTCCATGCCCCATAAGGTGGGTACCTACGAATGTTTTGTTTTGTAGATATATGAGTATAATTATGTTTCTAAATATTGTAGCTTAATGTCATAACAAAACGGTCATTAAAAAAATTTGGAGTACACTAAGCAGAATTAAAAATAAAATAGGTACTAGCTGTGATAATAAAAAAGTAGTTTCATTGAAACAAAAATAAATTTATATTACATTATACTATACTAATTCATTAACATGGCTAGCAAGTATCTTGCAATTACATATTACTTTTAATATATGCTAAATTATTTATACAATTTTTGCTTATTTGTTTTTGTAGTAATGACTTTAGAAGAATGTGGTTTAATTTTTTGTTACAAATGCATAACATTATAATTAAGAATTAAGATAATATGTGGCACCTATTCAGGCATAATATTTTGTTTTATCATATTATTAAGAAACGTCTACGTGTAAATGTAGTCATATTGTAAAAAATAATACCGGTAAGCTATAGACGTAACACAATTGAGTAACATTCTGGCAAAAATCTATTGATATTATTTAACTTAAAAAATACTAGAGAACAGCGTTGCCTGATGCAATTTATAACCAAATTTCACATATTTTTTCGTCGAATTCATATCGTTTTTTTTTTACATTTACCCAATCACTAACTTGTGTTGGTTTTCACTACGTTTTACTAAATAACTACTACGCGAACGAATAAAAACACATTTTATTTTATATCAAAAATTTATTCTATAATTTCATTTCTCTAAAATTTGGCAACGCTGTTAGAAGAATATCGTTCATTTCCATTTGTAGTTCGATGTATTTGCAGTTACACTATGTAGTAACTTATAATAGTTATAATAATAAAATAAAATATTTATAAGTATACTTATGGACATTTATGTTCAAAATGTATGTATTATGTTATTAAAACGTATAAAATGACAACAAATAAATTGTCGACACAGGCAGAATTACTAAGTAGATATTGTCAATTTTGATTAAATAGATAAATAAATTGCTAATTTAATCTGAACAACCAATTAGTCCTCTCACTTTTTTTGGGACATATATGATGTTATATCAAACAGTACATATATGATATTATATGGTCAATAAAATATAATGTAAAAATTTAATTGTTTGTTAGACAAATCGATTATGTCAAATGGTTTTAGTGCCTATTTACACTTAATGAAATAATAGTTTGATAGTGTCAAATAAATAAGATATAACATTATTGTCTCTAAAAAGTAAATTTCTAAAATAGTTTATAGGTCTAAAGTATGAATGAAAAATTAATTTATTCAGATTTTACAGATAAAATTTAATGTCACAGGAGCGGTATTTTAAAATAAATGAAACAATTAAAAGACGACCTTATATTGATAAATTGATAAAGCTTAATAACTACAATTGTATAAAGTAAATTATTCACACAATTATAATATTATTCTACGTACAATTTATTAAAATTAACAGATTTCTACAAACTAAACATCGTCAGACACCTCTTTTAAAACAAAGATGTCTATATTTTATTAGGTGGGCCCGTCACTTTTATGTGCTAAAGCGGATTGTGTTATATGGAAGGAATTGTGTTTCAGAATTACCAACTTGCTGAAGTGATAAAGGCAAAATTTAGTAAATGGCCTCGGACTGTTGTCTGTAGTTTGGTACTTAATCTTGGAATTACATACATGAGTATTTGTTAAAACGTGATTGTTTTGTTAAAACTATAAACGGAAATAGAGTTTCATTTTCAATTATCTATTTTCACTGGTACCCTGCAAACGTATTTCAATAGTGCAGGCGGAATTACCATTCCTTTTTCATCCCATAGAAAAACGTAAATATAGTAAATTAGCCCGAATGTCCGTAGTTAGGTACCTAATCTTGGCATTGACATATACAAGTATCTGTACTGTATATTCTCATGATACAATTATGCATGGTGTAATCGAAATCGTTAGCGTGTCTGTCAGGGAAATTGCATATTTTCATGAAAAAAAAAAATCCACAAAAAGAAACTTTGATTCTCTCATATTAATACAGTGTATTATTAGTATGAGATAGCTATTAAATTAGTATGAGAGGATCAATATTTTTTTGTCGTTTTTTAATTTTTGGTTCACAAAATTTTTCAAATATATCTTTTGCCCTTTATTTATATTCTATAGTATGGGTAGATTTTAAGATTTACGTGCAGTCAACGACTTCGATTTTACCCTGTATAATATGGATGAATGATGAAAATGGAATGGTAACCGGTACACACTAGCGGAATACCAATGCGATATGATAGGTGAAGATGAAAACAGGTCAGTTAGCCCATTATAACGAATTCATTAGGAATTAACAACGATGGTTTCCAGAAGAAAACATAGTTTCCAGAAGAAAACATATGGAGGTCAACCTGACGGGATATATTGGTTGCAATAGGGCCACTATGTCTAATATGAATATTATTGCTTGTCAACATGTCACATTGTTTCTACAAAAGATGTTGCAACCTAACAACAACCCAATTGTGACGGAGGAAAAAAATTATTGGTAATTGGATCTAACTGCCTCATTGCTAGCAAGACTCCCTATCAGGTCATCTTCGATGTGGTTCCTCTGGAAACCATCGTGGTTAATTACTTATTAATTCGACACTAACTGATCTTTTTTATCCTCACCTATGATTTCAAACTGGCGCCCAACCGGTGTATAGCTATAGCGCAGGTGGGGTCACTGATTCATATTCACTCATTAATAGAAAAATACACCTGTGACGCATAATTTGGAGGAAGCAAAACTTATGTATATTTGAAGCAATCGTCAAAGATATGTATTAATTGCTCAAATTTGCTCTGCAAAAGTAAATTGTCAAAATCTGACAATGGCATTATCGTTGGAATTATAATTATCCAGTCACAACAAATTACAGACGACAGTTTAGAGTGTCTTTTAAATGCCGCGAGAATACTGAATTATACATTTCTAAACATATATTTATCTATGTTTGAGTATCCGTTGCTCTATTAGGGCGTTAATTGCATAACATGGTGATAACTTTATATCGTACTAACTGCGGGTAAAGATAAGTCGTTGTTTTTGAGCGAAAACATGCAGGTTCTTTATTAAGAGCTAAGTTCCTGGACGGTAAGCTCCATAGTAGCTCCAACCTATTATTTAATGTTTTCAACAATAATCCGCACTAGTACAAACCACTATTCAGTCAAGTAAAAAAGTATGTATTTTACAGCCTTGTCACTGTCTGTTTGTACTCTTATCATGTATTTTTTTATTATATCGATAGTACATGTACCAGTGATGTGGCAAGGTCGTAAAATGTTGTAGTGGACGTTGTATTTATATCAACGGGAAAAGTTGACATGATGAACGCCGATATATACTATATAACCTAGTACAGATAATTAAAGAACATAATTCGTCACCTTAATCCCACTAGATAATTGTCTAAGGAGATTTAAGCGAGGAGAGTGATTTGATTGTAATCTTGTTTATCCTAATGACCTTCAATATACAATGCAATATTAATTTAAAAATCACAAACGATATTATACGTTCTCTTTAAAAAATTGTTTACGTGGCCGTAGATAAAAATTGTGATTGATGAAGGAAATATAATGAATATTCCTGAAAGGTTATGTCTATTAGTAGTACTTAAAAGTTAGTCGGGGACGCGGTATAGGGATTTTTAGTAATGGGGACTAGCAACCATGTTACAAATATTATTTCTTTTCAGGTTGACCTCCTCGAGGTCACCCCTGGAAACAATCGTGCTTAATCTTAGACGAATTCTTTATGATCGGTTAAGGTTAAATTAACTGCTTTTTTATCCTTACCTATCATCGCTCACTGGTATTCAGCCAGTATATATGGGTAGTGTAGACGAGGATATCATTCCATTATCGCCCCTTTAAAAAAAATAGGTAACTGGTCTATAATTTAGGTATCAGTTAATTGATGCGCCGTACCATCATGCCACCGTTCAATTAAAATATTGATAGGTATATCTAATATTATTGTGCTTTTAAAAATCATATATTTTTCAATATATAAATATACAATATAAAGAAGTTAGCAATAAAATTGAAAAACAACTACGTGTTAAATATTTAAGTAGAATGATACCTAATTTGTAAGCAGCAAATATAAACGCAAAATATATTGTGAGTCAGTCAACATGGCACTCAAACGTTTAGAGATCTCAATAGCAACAGGTCGATTCTGAAATTATTATTCTCGTAATTAAACTGTATATAATTTGGATAGTTATATAAAAGTACTATTCTCATTATATACAGTTACAGAATCGGACCCATTAAAATGATAAAACATTTATTAGTACAAATTGAAACAGAAATATACTTAATTACGAGTAATAATTCTGGGTATTTATATTTATTAAATATATTATTTAAAAAGCAATCATATTTCAACTCGCAACAAGGGTCTTACAGGGAGACTTTGACCAGACTAAATTGTGATTAAAACAAAATTACATTGAATAGACGTCAAATATAAGGTAAAGCAACGTCCTCCACTAGACTTTAACATATAACATTGACATATTCTATCAATCTCTTTAGTTTTTTAGTAAGATCAGCTAGCGATTAGCATTACTTCTGTCGGATTTGAAATTTCTCATTGTAACATTAATAAATTTTCAGAAGTTCTTTTAGCTAATAAGTATATAACTGCTTTATTATACATAATAAAAAATATTGATGTGTTACAAGACTGCTTATACACATAACATTGTTTTCCTTATATGTAATTATAACGTCGAAGTGATGTATGATATTATAATTATCAACTAGTTATAACGTCTCAGACTAGTAAAAAGTAGGAAACACATAACATTATGATGGATCAACTGTCATGATAAGTCTAATAATAAATATACGATACGATGCTTAAAACAATTGCATTTAAGCGAATAAGGTTTAAATTACTTTGATATATGGTAATTTTCGTTTATACGTTCGTGTCGCGTCATAGCATTGTGAGGGTAACTAGGTGTCACATAAATCATTCTAATTGATAATGATTTGTAGATTACACGAACTTTTTTTTAAGTTTTAGTTATTTTTATTTATTTAATTTGTGTAATATAAAAAGTTATATTTTTAGATAGATTACCAAAGAGGTAACATCTAGTAGTGTTTAAGAGAAACTAGATGACACAACTGAAACCAAATTTCAGTTTCTGATCTAGTTTAGGTCGATATAATTAAGATTGTGTTCCACAATTGGCACATAATCTTAATTATTGTAGCAAAATCGTTTTGATTTAAAAAAAATAAACTAATAAACCGATAAAATTTCTATGAAACCACTCTAAAAGTGTATTCGTTTAGATAAAAAAAATCATATTAGTTTACAACTGACAGAGTTATGAGGTAACAAACACAAAAAATACAAACGAACTGAGAAATTCTTTATTTTTGAAGTCGGTCGACAACGGAAATATTTTGATGCAGATTTTTCGTACAGTTTTAAAATGTTTAGTTTTATTAATCAATTCCTTTCTTCTGGTCTGAGACGCTTCTAATAAATTATTACTTAGTTACATTACAACGAAGGACGCGAAATACCGCAAATCTCTTATTTTTTAGATTCAGCAGACTAGTAAATTTATTCCAAACACAAGAACATATTAATAATTGTATACCTAAATACTTATATAGAGCATTTAATGAAATATATATATATTAAATGATAATAGTAGACCTACAGTGACGAATTGAACACGAAATAGAAATCAGTTTTAGTCAAAATTTATTTCTTTTTCTAAAAAATATTATCATGTATTGAGTATTCAGGGATTGTAATAAAATATGTGTAAGTTTATTAAGTTACAAATAAATAAATCAAAATATATGAGATATTTTGTATTTTGAAGGCAGTGTATACATTATTTAAGATTATTCTTACTAAAGATTGAAGCTCCAACCGCTCTAACGGTAATTGTAAAAGTCTTATATTCTGCTTGTTTCTATACTTTAGAAACGAGCAAACTTATTTAAAATAATAATATCTTTTTAATCTATTACTACTTTATCCTCCTAATAATAAAATGGCGTAAATATTTACATATTTTTTTTTTACAATAATTACATTCTTCTATTCATATGGGCTTGCTGAATATCATAGAATTTGTCAAAAATCAATTGATCAGTCAAAGAATAGCACACATTTTGATATTATAACAAATGAAAAACGTCACTAATATTGTATATATAATTCATGCATTTTTTATGACGTTTTCTATTTTTATTCTATTTTGTAAATGATGTGCACTATTCCTGTTAACCTTACAATAAAACACAGTGATTGATTTCTAGGTCCATTTCGTAGATTCACTAACCTTGCAACTCCCACTTCATACGTGTGTCCGTCTGTTCTACTATCACAATTGACATAATAATCACAATATTTCGAGCAGCTCAGTCGTTATTTTTAACCCTCGCACCATTATTTCAGCATCCACAATATAGTTTACAAGCAATGATGCTTTAATAGAAGTAGGTTATTCTAATTAAAATTGATCCCCATTTATTTTTTATTTTTAATCTAATTTCCCATGAATGTTTAGTGTTTTTTTTTTTTTACTAATTAGGTATAAGTATATTTTTGTTATAGATTTACTTATGTATGTATTTAAAAAATAAACCTATTACAAAATTACTTCAATAATTAAGTGAATGGTTTACCTAATATTTATAAGCAAAATATTAGATACTACCTTTTGCTAAATTGAATTTCAAAGTACATTAATTATTGTATGAAACGTACAATTTAAAAATTTAGGAATCAATGTTAAAGATAAGGAAAAAGTATGAATTTACTAAATGAAAACAATTGCAAGTACCATGTACTTGTATGTTAAGATATTAAAGCATCACTGGATGCAAAATGATGATAAAAGCAACTTAACGTAACGCACATATTAAAGCTGAGGGTTAACAATATAAACTGATAATATTCTTAAGGTCTCTTGGGTGGGAATGCCACAGCGGCCCTAATAGCACCTATTCTCTTATAATCAATAATGCAAATGGCGACGATGCAATAAAAGCCCTTTAGTTCAACGATTCGAAAACGATAAAACCTCTTACATTCACACGATGATTTCACGTATGACGCGGCGCGAACGAGAATTTGGCGTGGAATATCCAGACTCCAGTGAATCGTCGTAACTGAGTGAGAGATGAGGAGGCTTATCTTCAGGGCCGGCGTCCTCACCGCCACCGCCGCCGCTACTGCCTCCGTAACCCTCTGGTAGCCCGGTGACTTCATGGTAAGAGGGGTCTGGACAGAATTAAAGAATATTTAAATATTTGATATTTCGTTGCGTCCATGATTAGGCAATTAAAAAGATCGTTGAACATGTATTAAATAGTATTAATTCCGTATTTACTCATGTACCAGTCTTTAGAACTTTTAAAGGAAGATTTTGCACAGTCTCATACATGGGAACTACTGTCTACAGGTATTTTTACTCCCAAGCAGCTGTTTGTTTTGATTTGAAGAGTAGGATATATGGTACCGAAATTCCTGAGTATGGATTAATCAGATATGTGTACAAATGTATGTTGATCATTTTGATCCGAAATGCTAACAACAATTATGGCCAATTAAACTTGTGTAAATATTCCAGACTTTAATACTTATATTTCTATATTATAAGGAGCAAAGGTTTGAATGAATGAATGAATGAGTATACTTTATTTGCATTATACAATATAGGAAATAAACAAGACAATTTACAAACATAACGATACGATTGTATAAGTACAGTAAGGCGGTCTTATTGCTGAGAGCAATCTTTTCAAGACAACCTTAAGGTAATGGACTAATTGTTGTACAAGTAGGTATAATAGTGCTTTATAATTAAAAAAAAGCATCTTTTGCAAATTAAAAATATATAAAAATTATATACATATATACATACATATACACATACATATACACATACAAATATATACATACACATACACACATACATATACATACACATACATATATACATACACACATACATATACCTATCAATCAAACAAAATTATATAATCCCATGCATATATGTCAAATATGTACCCAATGCTAAGATACATATTAATAATTATAGGCACAAGGAAAACAAACTATCATAAAATAAATAATTATATAAATACATAAATAAAGAATGCCAATTTTTTAAATGAAGAAAAATCAGATAGAGAAAAGATAATCTTTCACTTGTCGTTTGAAAGAATCAATGGATTTTGTACTTCTAATAACAACAGGCAATGAATTCCATAACCTAATGCTAGAAACAGTGAAGGAATTGTGATAAAATTTAGTGGAATGAGCAGGTGTCATAAGGGAAAGGTTTTCGGAAGAACGTAATGTTAAAGTATGGGTAGAGGAGATGAATTTAAAACGTTCTTTAAGATAGGCAGGTGCACCAGGGTTAAAAAGAATATTATGTAACAAAGAGAGGGTATGTAAATCTCTTCGCCGGCGTATGGGAAGCCACTTAAGCTGAGAGCGATAGTGCGATACATGATCAAATTTGCGCAGACCAAAAACAAATCGTATGCAGAGGTTTTGAAGTCGTTCTAATTTATTTAGCATATCAATATTTAGATCTGGATAAGCGACATCTGCATAGTCAAGGATAGGGAGTAGGAGGGATTGAGCTAGGGAAATTTTAGTGGCTGTAGGTAGAAAGTTTCTAAGTCTTCGAAGCGACGCAGAAGCAGCGAACATCTTCCTGCTAACCTCGGTCACTTGGTACCTCCAAGATAGAGTGGAATCAAAGTAAATACCAAGATTCTTGACAGATTCACTAAAAGGGACACAAACACCATTACACTCCACTGAAGGTAATTTAGATATATCTAACTTGGATATGTAAGCGGGGCTACCAATAATAATCGTTTGCGTTTTATCTGGATTAATCCGAATGCCAAAGCACCTACTACATTCCAGAATCCGCCTCAAGTCATGGTTAGTTTGGTTTATAGCTTGAGCAAGGTTATCAAAAGCAGTCTGTGAATATATTTGCAAATCATCTGCATACATGTGGTAGAAAGAAGATATTTCTAGAGTTATCGAGCTGATGAAGATGGCAAATAAAAGAGGTGACAGCACACCACCCTGCGGTACGCCGGCTATAGTGTCACACCACGATGAAGTGTTTTGTTCAATCTTAATACGTTGCCGACGTCCATACAGGTAATTGTGAAACCAATCAATTACCGCTGGAGATATGTTAAGAGAGCTGAGGACTCCAAGCAGGACATCAAAATCGACAGTATTAAAAGCATTACTGAAGTCCAATAATGTTAGCACAGTAAGTTGCCGATTTTCCATACCAAATCTGATGTCATCAGAAATCTTGACTAGAGCTGTAGCCGTGCTATGACCAGGACGAAAACCAGATTGAAGGATGTTATGAAGGCTGTTTACTGAAATAAAAGAACTCAATTGCCAATGAATTAATCGTTCAAGTACTTTAGATAGGAAAGGGAGCAATGAAATAGGTCGATAATCACTAAAGGAAGATGGGTTAGCTTTTTTTGGTATGGGGACGATGTGGGCATCTTTCCAACATTGAGGGAAAGAACCAGAAGAAATGGAAAAATTAAGGATACTGGATATAATGGGAATAAGGAGATCTAACAAAGGAATGATCATTTTACGGCTAATACCGTCAGCTCCGATAGCATTAGAGGTAATGGATAATGTAGCTCTCTTAACATCACAGTCGGTAAATCGATTAAAGACAAAAGGAGTGTGACTGGGAGTGGATAAAGAAGAAAGATAATTTATAGTATTAGTTTTGACTTCATTGTCAAGACAGGAGGAAGAAGAAAAATGACTGTTGATCATGTCAAGATCAAGATCATTAGAAATGTTTGTATTTCGAGTTTTGCCAACTCCCATTGAATTAAGAAATTTCCAAACTTTAGCTTGGTCTTCATTTTCAACGGACTGATGAATATGGTGCCGCCGTGCATCTCTACACATCATGTTGCAATGATTCCTCACACGATGATATCTATCCCGTTTTCTTGAATTGGCAGGGTCATTTTTATAACATGCCTTGGCTCGGTTCTTTTTTCTCGAAGCTGGCGAATATCATCAGTGAGCCAAGGAGCAGGAAGATGCTTGAGTCTGACTCGACGAACTGGTGCATGAACATCATAAAGTTGTATGAGAAGAGAATTAAAAATTTCAACTTTTGCGTCCATAGTGTCAGCCTCATTGATGATTGTCCAATCAATTCTAGACGCATCCTCACGAAGCTGCTCGATCTTCATACCACTAAAATTTCGTTGCAAAAGGATTTTAGGTTTAGGTTTAGGAGGTCGGATTTTATAGGAAAGGTAGATGAGATCATGATAGGAGAAAGCATCTGCACTAATTTGACCATGTCTCGCAACGTGATTAAGAGAGGTTACCATTATTAAATCTAAAAGGGATGGAGTGCAATTTGGAAAAAAATGCGTAGCATTCAGAGGAAGTATAGTCATGTTGATGGATTTCATAATATTTTGGAGACAGCGAGCACGAGAGTCAGTCTTCAGAAGACAGGTATTGAAATCTCCCATAATAATGGAGTGGCTGTATGATGCACTTAAATTTTCAAGAAGATTTTCAAAAGAAGGAAAGTAGTTAATAGTTAGATTTGGACTATAGTAAACTCCAAGAAGGACTTTGGTATTAGAGAGAGTAATCTCAAGAAAAAGGTGTTCAGCTGTGTTCGGGGGAGGAGGTTGCGGAGATTTGCTTATTATTGCGTACGGAATGTGGCTACGGAGATAAATAGCCACACCACCATGACACGAAGAAATACGGTCATTACGAAGTAAAATAAAGCCGGGAAGAGAATATGAGGTAGATGGTAATGATGGATGAAGGAAGGATTCGGATACTAGGATAGCATGAATGTTTTTGTTTTTACCGAAAGTAAGAAGCATGTCGGAATGATGTGCTGGAATACTTTGCGCATTAATGTGTACCGCGTTAAAGTTTTTAGGTACATCAGCGAATTCTGTAATCAAAACATCGGTAAGGGAGTTATAGTTAGCACTTTGAAAACTATCATCACTCATCGTGCTTTCCAACGACAAGTAATCATCGTTAATATCTTCATCCGACGTTATTGGCATAATAATATAACAAATATAAATAAATATTTACAAAATATATATATATATATATATATATATATATATATATATATATATATATATATATATATATATATATATATATATATATATAAAATTACAAATTGCAATACAAGTAGTAAAATACTTCAAGATACCGACGTTTATATTATAACGTTACCCGCCAGCAGCTTGAAAAGTTATAAAAAATACTTGAAACATTTAAGAAAATTAAATTAAACGAAAAAGCACAACACCACACATATTACACAATTTAGTTGTAAAAATAGATTATCTGTGGTTTCTTAAAATACATGTAAAAATATCAGATTAAATAATTAACAGATACAGTATATTAAAAGTGAGAATTAACAAATTTGACAGATAACTGTGACAAATAACAATGATAAATGACAATTAATAATTAGTGTGAAGGTACTAGCTATCTTTTAGTAGTAAAATATTGTTACCCATATTAAGCGTTAGATATTAGTTAACCGACTTTAGTTGACAATAAATTAATGATTAAATTATCATTTTACCTACATTCTCACAATCAGAAAAGTGTGGGTGTGTGACCCTCGTTTAACAATAGGAGCGATAATGGAAGAACTTTGAAATATCGGCATGTCATTTCTTTCCCGCTGTGGCTGCCGCACGTCTCATCTTAGATGCGCCTGACAGCAATTGCTGATTTTGTGGACGAGCTGTCGATTTAGTCAGCAGCTTGCTCTCGCCAATTCCACTTGTTAAACTGGTGCCAGTAATGGCATCTAGTTCGTTTAAGGAACTGATACGTACACGTTTCCCATCCGCCGTCGTACAGTACACATGGCCGTCTCTTGTCCAGCACCGTGACACACCTAACCTGGCCCGAGCAGTCATAAACAACTTATGGCGGGGTACCGTCAAGAATTCAGATATAGTGACATTACTACCTTTAAATTGCTTTTTGGAGAGCCACACCCTGTCTTTCTCAGCCAAATCCCGGAACTTGACAAGCAAAGGACGAGGCTTAGCACCTGTAGTAACTGCACGCCCCATTCGATGACACCTACCTATGCTTTCTTTGCTCACTTGACAGACATTCAAGCAATTTACAGCAACATTAAGGGACACTTCATCTTTTCCTTCGGGTACTCCATGCAACAGTAAAATTTTCTGACGAGTGCGCATCTCCAGTCTGTCAACATCTTTGGAAAGCTGATTCAAAGAACTCTGCACGCTGTTAAGGCTCTGTATGACATCCAATCTGAATGAATTGAACTCAGATGCAAGAGAGTCCAATGTGATGGTGGCGGTCGCAGGACTGCTACGGGCTGCTGCCAACTCTGCTTCAAATTGTGCCATCCGGTTGTTCATCTGTATTGTGAGCTCTTGTACCGTTTTGTTCATAGATTCCATTTTAAAGTCGAAAAATAAACACTGAGTAAACTATTGTTGTTAAAAAAAAAAGAAAAATGTTTCACTATAGTAGTTGTGGAGTGAAAACTTGGATAACGCTAACTGGTAGGTAACATAGCTTAAATATTCATAATAAATTGAAAAAACTAATTATATATTATTGTAAATAAAATATTCTAAATTTATTAACAAGAGACACTTCTTACTACTTTCGAATACTACCCTCGTTTGATTGTTTTTAATTAATAAACTCAAGAACTAATTAACTGATTTTAAAAATTCTTTCACGTATTATTTTCTATCTACTCGTGCGATATCGGAACGAATCGCTAGTATTATATGTATATATTAGACAATACAATATGTACTACTTACCAATGCAAGGATCGACATCCATAAGTCTAATGCATGGATCAACATCCATTCGTTTCTTGGGCTTGTGTACCGAGGCGTAAGGATCTGAGCAGAAGTCCTGGCGAGACGGGTTCTGGCTACCGCGCATGTTATAGTCTGGAGGGGCAGTCATCTGGCCACCGTGCGGCATAGGAGGATACGCGGGATAGTCGTCAATAGTGCCATATGCAGGCTGAGAAATTTGATCGTACGCATAGTTGCTTTGTCTATCAATAATTTGATGGCCTGGCATACCACCTGGATTGTTAGCCGCCAATTTCATTTGCCATAGAGAATCCTGAGAGTTGACACTCCCACCATTGTTGCTGTTCGTATAGCTATTTTCCATGTTGTACGCCATGTTTACCCCTAGAACGACATAGTATTATCAATTGATGGAGGGGGGATATAACGAAGTAACACGCAATCATGCACGGGGTGACACACATTGTTATAATAAATTTACCTTCTATGTCGATTTTGATTAGTCCTTCGTGATTTGCAAGAAAGAAAATATTTATGATAAAGAAATACTGACTGCTAAAACATAATGCAATAATTTCTATGCACCCAAATTAAAAAAAAAAAAACTTTTCTATAACCCGCGCAAAAACTAGGAATAGGCATAGTTTCGTCATCATGAATTTCTTAATAAGAGTGCTTAATATGCATAACGTAAAATTTTAAATTGAATTAATCAAGAATTGTATGAAAATATATTTTATGTTTTCTACAAATTCTGTAAAGTAAGGTATAATATCATAGATAGATATAAAAAAGGAAATTAAATATACCAAGCATGATAAATGTTCTAAATAATAATTATAGTGAAAAACAATTAATTTTTCATAAAAAAAAACTTCGCAGTTATTCGTAGATATCGCGTAAAAACCTACGCACAAAAATATAATTGCACCTCAGACTTTTTAAATCACAAAAATAAAAGGTGGAAGAATACTCACAATCTGTGTTTGGCATATTTTGTACCGGGTGTCCTTGAACGTGTGGAGGCATGTGATAGGCATAGCCAGAGCTCCCATATACATTCTTCGCATCGTCTATAGATGTGGCAAGATCCATGGAATGTTCTAGTGCTTTATTCTCCATACCCGCGCTCTGGTAATAAGGTGGAGGAGCTTGATTCTGCGGCGCCACCATTGGCGGTCTCATAGAATCCATTTCGTAATCCTTACTGGTCTCTTTTTTGTTTTTATCATTCAATTTGCAGTGGCAAAATACGAATAGTAGGGCGAGGAATAAAAGGAATACCAAGCATGACACCACAATTGCTATCATTGTGGCTGGTGTGAGAGCCGATGCTTCTTTTATATACGATGGGCCGACTGGAAATTAAAGAAAGATTTAAAGTATGATTTTAATTTATATAACAATGGGGTCAGTTTTGAGGCGCCTTTTCTGTAAACCTATCTGGAAAATTAAAATATCGATTTTATATCGCAGCGAAATCTTTATTGTAAGGACCAATATAAAATAATTTTCTAATAGGTATCTGTAAAATTTATTGTAAAGTTACTTTACGATAATCCATAGGACAGTAATTTCGCGAAATTATTAAATTAAATTAGATTAAGAGATAGGATTAGAAAATTGGTTCCAAGAATCGGCCTCAATTTTTTAATGATAGTAGACACTAAACAGAGAAATAATACTAGATAGGGAGTGGTACTCTCTATAGAAAATCTCTGGTAGAAAATACCCCCTCCGCATTCGTACATGTCGTATCGTACATACTATTTTCCATGTTGTACACCTTGTTTATCCCTAAAATGACATATTATCGATCGATGGAGGGTAATATAACGAGGTAACACGCAATGTAATTTTATATACTTTACGTCGTACAATATGGTTAAAATATTTATTTCAAATGATTATGCGCACTTTTTTCAATATTTTCTTTCTTTAATATGCAAGTGGGCTACTTAAACCCCATTACACACAGCGTTATTTATATGCTATTAGTTGGTGTATTTGTATGGTTCGAAGTCATCATTGAATAGTATATAACCAAGGCATATTAAGTATTACTATTTTATAGCTTGAGAAGAATTATAAATTGATAGAAATGGTCGTAGTGTAGTTACCATTACTATTTCTATTAGTTTAGAATTCTCTACAGACTATATGAAATTAATATGTTATATTATATAACTAATGTGTTTTATACTAAATTCAACACTTATTTTATAATCTCCCGAATCTTAGTAGGCTAATAAATAGCTTGTTATATATATCACCGTCTGAGCTGTTAACTGTCCACTGCTCAATATATGCTTCCCCCATAAGAGAAGTTCTTTCTAATAGTTGTCACGCTTGGCAGGCCTGTTGGCAACCGCAACTAGGTTTTGGTGATGTTCCAAAAAGGATGCTGCTGTCCATATCTCGACCAATAAGTTTCCTTACTTCCTTACAACACTCACAGGAAAGGAAAGGTTGGCTTATTCTATGCCGAGATTACATTGCATCATAATACCATACATACATATAAGCTTATAAAAGCTCATCTATCTATTCAACCTACTAAAATACAAGAATTGAATTCGTAATCAGGAAGAACTACGTTTAATTGTAATAAATGTATCATAAGAGTACTATTGACACGTATCTAAAACTTACTATCAGCTTCGGTGTATTCGCTGCAAACCTCTTGGTTCACTTTAAGGCAGAGCTTGAGCCTGATATGAGGATTCATGTCATCGTATGGTGTATCTATGTGTCGTCCTGGCATAGTTCGGGTACTCTGTTTGTTTGGAATCTCCAGCGGGGCCTCTTGCACCGTCGCTACTGCACCTGATAGATGCAGAGGCACCGTGTCCACCACCTTGCAGAAAAAAATCCTTTTACTTACTTCCATTTTTGTTATTACAATAAGTATTGGTTTGGTTACAATTGGTTTTGTTATTTCTTATATAAATATAAGAGTTTGTTAAAATGTTTACATTTTAAATAACTGTTTGGATACCAGAAATTCAGTTTGAGGGGTGAGTTATGACAGTGAAATTATAGGGTTCCAATGTTCAGGAATAAAGCAGAACAGAACCACAAGTAGAACAGTTTATTTTATGATGCTTAATATTCATATCTATAGGCGACGGTTGTCACGTAGCAACAGATGGACCGTTAGCTTGTTTGCCATTCAAAGTTACATAAAAATTAAATTTTACATACAGATATTACATATAATATTAACTCATATAATATAATATATCATAGTATAATAATACAAATAGTTTACAACTGTAAGTAGCAGAAATAGAAACATGGTGAAACGTAAACGTAGGTATACACAAATTAAGTACTTATGTATTTATTTAGTAAGGTACACTAAAAAGCTTTTAAAGTTGATAGGTACTTCTCTTGAACAACACAAAGAGTGTTGAATCGAGTCAATTGGAGGCCTATATAAATAAGCGGAAGTATGTACTTAATAGGTTAAAAGTTTAATGTATTTCTTTATACAGAGGTATCCATCAATTTTATTAGACAGCTACGTATTTATAAGGCAATTTTGGATGTTATTTTTCCAACTAAATATTCATTATGACTCGCTTTATCATTTCTACAACAACTTGTAATGTTTACAATTAAATTGATTTTATATGCTTTTAATATAGCATTAGATTAAATCTTGAAAATATTTAGACATTATAGTAACTACTTATATTAGTCGTTCTATATGATTAAATTTAATTATTTTCATTTTCTAAAAAATTTTACTAAAATTAATTTTTAAAATTCATATAGATATTGACGTAATAGAGGCAAGTTAATACAGATATAGAACATAAATATAATAAAGTTGTATTAACCTTACGTTACCTTTTTTTACCAGAGGGAGACTTTGTATTAAAGTCGTTTACTTGGGTACCTCTATCCCATTCGTGTTTCTACCGTTAAGCAGTTGTGTTTGCATGGCTGTGTTTCAATTTGAAGAGTGGGATATAGCAGTGAATTTACAGGGTACAGAGGTATAATACCTTGGTACTCAGGAATGGCAACACATAAGAGGTATCATAGACGAAACAGTAAAACTCTCTCTGTACTGCGGGTGTACTATGAAATGAAATTCCAAAATTTCGGACTCAATTTCGTGTTTTTGTTTATACCAAAATCGGACCAATAAATGGAGTTTAACATTTCGTTTTTCATACATCCTATCATAAAAGTCCAAAGGAACAATATTTTAACATTTTTAATATTTCCAAACGGCATGTATTATGTAATTTTAACATCAAATTTCTGTTTCGTTCGACTCCGAAATTTCGAAAAACATTTCATGGTAGGTCCTCTGTTCATGCCTATAGGCGACGGTTACCACTTTTCATCAGGTGGGCCGTCAACTTGTTTGCTATTGTAAGTTGCATAAAAAAACGTACACGAAAAAAATAATTTTAGCTACTTTAATCGTATCAAAATTAATATCGGGTTTACAAAGACGTAAATTCTACTGATTCTGAAAAATTGAAAGAATTATAAAAATCGGCTTGTGGAAGATATCGCGTAATGTATCTACACAAAAAAAGAAAATGTAGGCGAATCAAAAACCTCTTCATTTTAAATCACTTAAAAATCATTATTTATTTTTTTACGCCGCTGTGTCTCATAATTTTAACATAGCGCTAGAGATATACCATGTTTAGCGTATACATCGTCGACGTCCTAGGTGGCAATTATTCGTCATATTGACGTCGATTTTCAGTCATTAACCTTAAAATGATTTAAAACTGACGTCTTATTTGAGTCGAAGACGTCACCTTGCTATCTGTGGGTAAGTGGAAAACTAAATAGGATTTTTGTGGTATTTTTTTTTGTTATAATCAATTACTTATTAAAACATTTTCCAGGTATCACAATTACAATAGACACACGAGAAAAGAAATCGCAATTATTTAGAAATGTTTTTAACATTGAATTGTTTAGTTGTCTATCTACGCCGCCGCGACCGACACCTACTATCTACTATCATTTTCAATCATTTATGTTTTGTCGTTCCGTTAAATATTATATTAATAATATTATAACTAAATAATGTTTATACACGGTACAAACGATAAGTTCTAGAAAATTTGTCTATATTTTATAATATACATTTAAAAAAAAATTAAAGTTTAAAGTTTTTTAAGCGCGTTATTGTTTGCGTAGATCGGATAAAGCATGAATATGTAACGTATGTTTTAAAATAAATTGATTATTATTATTCATAACTTACTGCTTTTACTGTATTTACCTATATCACACCTAATATACACAAAGTAAACAGGGTCTACCTACAAAATAGGTCATCGAGTTCAATGTAAGTACAGTCGTTCTAAGCTCCCATTATTCAACATCCGTTTTCGTGCTCCTAACAGTTTATTTAAGTATTTTACTTAAGTAGAATAAATATTACGTGACTGTATTAGCCAGAAACATATATCTGGCTATCCATCATTCTCTAGTTACAGTCGGGTGTCACTTATACGCTGTGTATACTTTGTAGCATAATTTTTTTTATACAACATCGAATAACAAATAATCTGACCGCTTACCTGATGGAAAGTGATTACATGACATGAACAACACCATAGAAATTACATAATATGCTATGATGTTCATAGTACCCTTCGTGTATTGTCATCTTTAGAGGTCTAAGCTGGCATTTTTAGTACTCTATAATTTCATTTCCCTCAATCTTTAAACCAAAGCACAGCTATGCTAAAACAGCGGTTTAACAACAAAAAGACGAGTAGCATCGACGAAAGTCACGAAAGTACGTCGGTAGTTAGTATATATTATTACAACTGTAAACTGCGGCTTTCCCAACGTTATAAGGCTATAAACTATAAAGTATAGTCAGCGTTATATATAGTTCTATAGAAATTATCACAGAAAAAGCTTTAAATAAAATTAGTAACATTCAATTATAGATTTTTAATTTGAACTACTATTGCAGATCAACTGATTACTTTAAATAAATAAATCTTAATGTGGGGATAATTATTCAGTACATTTTTTTTCCATTACGTTTGAAAAATATATTATGAAAAAATTCTATATTCTGTTAAAGATTGTTGGCATTTAGTGGAGTTTGGAATTCATCTTTATAAGTTTAAGGACATTTGCACTACTTCTACAGATTTTTATTTAACTAAGTATATAACCGATTTTGCCATAACAAACGAGTCACAAAATATAATTAAATAAAAATGTATGAAAATAGTACAAGCGTGTCAGTACACACTTATAACTAATATTTTGTCTTCATCGAGGCTAAAGCTAGATAGCTAAAAAGTAATATATAAATAGTAATTTATAGTAGCTATAAATATTAATTTTGTTTTAAATTCTTTTGACCGTGTCAGCATTGAATACCAAACATCTAAACATATAAATATTAAATGAATTGAATATGTCTGCTGGGTATCTTCCGTACCCTTCTGAATGTTTCATCTATAATCTAAGGTTTCATCATAAACACCAATTAGATAATTGAGTTAATAACAAAAAAATTAGGGGTATGTTACTTACCTATTAACTACATATTTTTTATACATTGCTCTAATTATTTTCATACACTTTATTTATTAAATGCACAAGACAGCTATATGTGCTATGACAAGTTGCACAAACAGATGTAAATGAGTACAGTATGAAAAGCAACATTAACACGGAACATTATATTTTAACATTTACACCTCTAACTGAACAAAAGTACTTATTTGTTCATTACATAGACACGATTTTTTTTTAAAACAGTAGATATTTGTATTATATGTCTATTTTTAGTGTCATAAAATTTTTCTTTAAAAAAAGTAAAATTTGAATTTTAGACTTTTCAGATAAATCTCTATGTGGAACATATGTAATTAGTAAAAGTTTCTCTAGGAATACCTTTTAAAAGAAGCTTAGGCATGTAATATTAAAAACTAGAAAGGGAATATTTTAACATTCTTCACGATATGTTGTTATTTTATAATTATAAAAAAATAATCCATTTTAATTTTAATAAATTGTTTTTAGCGTATAATCTATTTCTACGAATAGATAAATTTAAAATATAATTGTCCTTTTCAAACATTGAAAAATTAAATAAACACAGACAGCAACATAAAAGTAAAATCTTTTAATAATTTATATTGCCTATTATAAGGCAACATTTATCGAAATCACGATAAAAACTATAGTTATTGTATATGATGGTTAAGTTTTTAAAATATCAGATTCTAATTGAATTTAACATTAATGTCCCCAAGGGTTATGTTACATTATCTAAATAAATAATTAATTTTATGGGAGTCGTTGTGTTTGTTAATTGAAAAATGAAGGTCTATTGTAGATGTACGTACATACGGTGTAATATAAATTAATAGTTCAAGCTGTATAATTAGTAATTACAAAGTAACTAAATAAAAATAACATAGTATTATAGGCACTTAAATAATATGAGGATGATTGTAGGTATTATTTAATAATACTCTTTGCACCTATCGTAATATATAATTATATTAGAATATGCTTGAAAAATAAGGTATAGGTTATATAAGTTGGATAATTATAAACGAATACAATTATTTGATTAGATGGATTATTTCCGAACAATTTGATAAAATATTATTTACATTACCTGCCAGCCAGCGGCTCCGCCAATGCTGTTGAGCCCTTCAGCCACCCCTATCAAGGAGAGGCAGGTGGGGCCCACACTGAAGGCTATTGTCCTCGTGCTAGGATCATAGGTCACTTGCTCTGGAGCAGCAATCTTGTCCACTTTCGTAGTCACCGTAATTTCGTTAGAATAATTGCTCTGACCTTTCGTGTTAACTGCTTTCACCTGAAGTTCAAAATATTGTTTAGACTGAATTCACAGTACCAAATTACGACACAGTGCACAATAAAGCGTGCTCAAAGCCACAACAAACTGCACAAAAGAACAAAACAAGAAATATCTCAAAGTAGCCCGATTGATTTACCTTGAAAATAAATTTCAGTTGCTGTCGGTAGCAATAACAATAGAAAATAAAAGTATGTTAATGAACTGTTTTACAATATGTTGATTGAAATGTGTATTATGTTGTGTTGTATTAAGTTATTTACTTTTTTTTATAGATTAATGAATTCCAAAATCCACATAATCAAGAATACAGTTTATTTTATAGCTAATTTACCTTGAACGTGTAGGAACTATGCTGCTCGAGTCTAGTAACATTACAAGGGTTGGAGCGACCACAATCGTATTCCATCCAATCGTATTCGGTGTGCTCAGTGGCGCAATGCTCACCGCCACCAGCTGAGTTTACTCCCTTAACCATCACCCGACGGTATCGCACGAAGTACTTTGTACTCGTCAAACCTCCATCAAAACCTGCTTCCCACTTTAAAGTTACATATGATGGACCTATTTTTTCACTCGTGAGATCTTTTGGTGATTCTGGAGCACCTTTTGGCTGTAAGCGAGTCTGTGGTCGTATACTTCCAAGTGCATTTTTCACTTTACAATAATAATCCCCAAAGTCTTGAGGTTTCACACCTCTTATTTTCAAAATACTTAAATAAGAATCATTGTTATCAGTAGTTGTGGTTATGTCATAGTGTCCATCGGAGGACATTTGCAATGGGGAAGTGTTTGATCCGTAGAACCACTGAAATTCTGGTTTTGGATACGCTTGCACTCTGCAGAATATTTCAGCCACTTCCGCTATATCGTAGGCTACTTTCTTTTGTGGTCGGATGGCTAATGGTTCATCTGTAAAGGAAAAAAATAAATTAAAGAAAAAATACATTGTTAATTGTCTTTAGTTACTAAAAAAGTCTAATAAACTTACGTTCGATTCGAAGATGAACAGTTGATTCGACTCTTTTAACTTCATTCTCGAATGTACATGTGTATATTCCTCTATCATCTGGTAGCAGTTGGTTTGTATTGGGTCGTGATTTACCGTAGAATTTAAGCATACTCTGTACATTATATACCGAGTTTCGACCCTCAGTTATATCAGTCTTAATCTCGTATAAATCAGTATCAAGTTTAATTTCGGAATTATCCTTAAACCACTTAACAATAGGACGTGGTTTACCAAGTGCACTACAGGAAACTGAAAAATCTAATTCGCCTGCTCGTTTAATCATATGAGGTTGAAGTTTTGACTGAAATCTAGGTGGCTGATGTACTTGAAGAGTTACAGAAGCCATTTCACTATGGCCTAGTTCATTAGTGGCTTGGCAGCGATATATACCTTCACTGCCAAGATGGGCACTAGGAATTGTATATTTACTACCAGTTGCGAGAACATTAGGTTTTGATTCTGCGGTACCGACATCAAGGAACCATCGATACTGAGGAGCCGGCCAACCTGGAGGTTTTGCACTACAGGTAAGCGTCACTCCAGATCCTTCTTGTGCCACGGGCCGGTCAGGACTGATATGGGCACGTCCAGGCTTGTGGCGAACTAATACTGCAACTGAAGCACTACTCGCTCGTTCCACACGTTTACCAGTACTGGTTGATATATCATTCACTGCTCGACATATATATGTTCCTGCCATGTCTGCATTTACTCTAGTCAATAATAGTGTGTTTCCATTTTGACGAAATTCTGGTTTTCCCTCCATAGTCCACTCAATAGTTGTAGGCTTGGGATTTGCAGAAACGTCGCAACGAATTTCGACTGTGCCATCTTCTTCAGCTTCAAAAGTCTTAGATTCGACTGTTACTGTGGGAGGGTATAATACATCTAAATAAATATCTTTTTCCCCCTGTGAACCTAATCCATTATCAGCACTACATGTATATTTGCCAGCATCTTGAACAGTGACTCCTTGTATGGCATGAGTAAATGAATTTGAAATATATTTGCCATTTCTTGTCCATCTTACAGTGTTTACTTTAGGTTTTGCATCAACTTTGCATTCTAAAGTTGCAGTTCCGTCGATTTCTACTCGTAGTGGGTTTTCAGGGCCGACATCAACGCGGGGAAAGTCTAGAAGAAAAGAAAATAATGTTGAAAATAAATGTAAACAATATGTTTCATTAATATAATATTTAAAAAAAGTAGTTCTTAGTTAAATAGAGTATTTACAATTTTTTTAAGGTTGGATTAAAATGTTTAAGTAATATTGTATTCTTAATACGGTTAATGTTTGGATATACTATTTTACGTGGAGAGAATTAAACTTTTCTTCACATTTGTTTATTTGACGAGCCGTGCGCTCATAGGAAACGGATATGTGCGTTCTATATACGACAGAAGGCATACCAATAATAATTTTGTTTACATTATATGTCAGAATAACAGCAACCAGTGTATTCCGTTCATGTTTCGTGTTACTAAATGGGTTTTAATGTTCCATTTTATAAAACACTCTCTGGATCTATGATGCAACTCAAACAGAATATAGTATTTATCTGTTAATGTATATGTCCTTGTGATTTTTTTTTTCGAAAAGTGTGTAAATATACGAATATGAAATTGAATTTTCTACTTTCATATTATTAAGCTATTCCAAGTACTTTTTACCCTACTTAGTTTAATACATGCTGCGTCTTATGTTTTACTATTAATCATCAGTGATAACTTTAAGCAAAATACGTTATAATATATTAAAAGTAGTTTTTTATACTGTGCTATATCTATGTTGACACTACGTAGTACGTTTGACAAATTTATAGCGATCTAAATTGATATAATTTTGTGACTTAACGGTCTTGTCAAAATAGACTTTTTTTATGCAACTTAGAATGTTAAGCATGCTGACGGTCCACCTGATGGAAAATGGTAACCGTCGCTTATAGATATGAGTAGTACCGTGGACATAACAGAGTATATTGTTTCGCCTATGATACCCCCCCCCCCCCCTTCGTACGGTGATATTCCCGAGGACTCAGGTGTTATTCCTCTGTACCCTGTAAATTCACTGCCATATTCCATCCTTCAAACCGAAACACAGCCATGCAAACAACTGTTTTACGATAGACACGAATGGAACAGAGGTACTCAAGCAAACGACTTTTGTACAAAGTCTCTCTCTGGTACTGATCAGACTTCAAGTAAATTTACATCGAGTGAATATTTTACAGTTATATTTGTTAGGAAATATATAAGTGTAATGCAATAAGTTATAGCTGACGATATTATTTATAATGTATTTTTACATTCATTATTTTAAAATATGAGTAAATAAGTAAAAATCAAGTTTTATATTTAAAATTTACTGAAGTTTTTGGGAAAGAAAATTATATGATATACTCTACTTATATATAAGTGTAATACTTCGACTGAACAAAGTGGATTGTTTATATCACACTTCGTATTCATAAAAAAAGATTTAAGTCACTTTTGTCGGGGCAAAATTTAAATTATTAAACGGTAATTTTTATATATTTTCTTTACGAAGAAATTCTACATTAATATTTAATTACAAATTTTTAAGTATAAAGCTGGAATTTTTAGTATGTTACTTAAGTATATTATCTATTATTATTAAATATACATTGTTTTAGATAAAATTTAATAACTCAAATAACAAATTTAAAGAGATTTCATTTGTAAATATTGTTAATTGTTATTATGATGTGTCATTGAAATGTTATCGAAAATAAATTTTAAGAGAACACAGCAGAGTAGAAAATTTAAAATACCTTTTTGTAGGAAACACCAACTTACATTTTTTTTTATTATTATTAATCCAATAGATTGAAAATAAATTCTTACATTAAATGTTTATTTATCTCATTTCCTCGGAAATTATTATTTTTTATAACACAGGGGGCATATGAGCATGCAGCTCACCTAATGCTAAGTGACTACCGCCGCCCACGTTCGCCCACAGCACCAAAGGTATTGCAGGTGTGCTGCCGATCGTTTAAAAAGGAATATGCTCTTTTCTTGAAGGTTATGAAATCAGCAGCAGGTATCAATTCGAATAATTCTTCAGAGCACTCTCCATGATAAATTCGGTAGAAGATGCACAGAGATTCAACATCTCTACGCAGTTTCAGTGGGTCGAGTCGTTTAGTAAGACGCTGATTATCAATAATTCGAACCGCCCGACTTTGAATGCGGTATTACGGAAGAAGCTCATACTGAGACGCTCCTGGCCATAGGTGAGAACAGTTATATCATTATTAAAAAAACCTACGTTAACCGATTGTTTTCAGTAAATATCTTCTGTAAATAGTACACAATAAAGTGAAATTCCAGCAATTTATTTTCAATATAGCACTTGGATAGTTTTACATTTTTTTCCAATATGGCCATAATAAAAATAGCTGGGAGATTTTATATAATTATTTTGAGAATGTTAACGAGTTTTTAAATAGATTATATTACAATGTATCTTCTAATTTTTGAATCAATTTTGTTGTTACGAGTGTTTTTCGAGAAAAAATTTTACTACCTTCTTAATTCTACAAAATTTTCGTTAAGAAAAAACTTTTTTGTGAACCAAAATATTAAATTGTAAATACTTGTCTAAACAAATTAAACACCAATATAAATACATTGTGTACTTTTGGAGACCATAGGTTATTCCTTCGTCCTTCTAATTAGCAGTCAATTACTTTATTTCCGGCTTTGACATACATGTACCATTAATAAATGTTGCCATTTTAAAGATGTATTCGTACAAAACTTCACCAACAAAAATATGGGAATTTGAATTTATACTTCGATATTTATCATAAATGCTAGATGGACTCCTATTCGATAATGTGTATCATAACCGACTTTGTTCATATGACGAGGGTTCAAATACTATAATAAAATTCCGTTAATTTCCGACCTGTGAGACATTTAACTTAGGATTTAAAGTTTATAAACATCTAGTATGGCACATATCAATGAGTGAATTGAACTTAAGAAAAAGTGAAATTATTAAATTAGACGAGTACAGTCCTTTACAAAAAAAAAACACTTTATTTGCAACAGAAGAAAACGTTATATTTCTTATTTTAAAATTATTTTACAAATCGATTTTTACATTCAATGGATCGCTGGATGAATTTCAATCAATATAAAGGCATAGAAATAAATATTGATTCAAAAGACTTAAAATTGTTTATATTAAACATCTGTTTTCGCGCAAGGTAAACTTGCGGAGTTGGCTTATAATTATTTTAATAATACGTTGCCTCATGATACGTTTTATATTCAGTTACAGTTTACCTTGTCTGTAGGCAATGGTTACCACTTTCCATCAAAAGAGCTGTCAGTTTGTGCGTCATTTTAAGTTGTATAAAAAGTTACAATTTGCACGTTGATGGTACTAATTAGGCGGTACCACGGCGGTAACTTATAACAATATTTATTTTAGGGCAATAAAATTTATATAGTGAACGAGAGCTACCTAAACAAAAAGTGTTTAGTAAAGGTTATCAGAAATGATATTTAATTTCCATATATATTCCATAATATTGAAAATTTCCATTCAGAAATGATAATTCACGGTAATTTCCGAAATCGTTCAAATGATTTCATAAAATTTTGTATTTGTGAAGCACAAAATTTAAGAGAGGAGTTTTTATTCTCGTAAGAAAAAAACCTCATAGGTGACAGTAGAGGGCAATGTTTATGGGGTCAATTTATTAATGTTCTTTTTCGTATGGAGTCAGTTATAGATTTTTCACTTTAATTCGGTAGATTTATCTACATATAAATCTGCTGATTTTTTTTATTTACCTAATACAGCTATATGTATTTGTAGTTTACACAGTAAAAACAACAAATAAAGAATGCAGGTGTGTTAAATTGGACTACAGAAAACTAGAAAACAGTTTTTAGTTAGAACTATGCTTTCGCGATGGAAATAGAGGTTGGAAATGTGGAGATTATTTACAAAGAGCTTTTGCGTTTCTTGATGGCCTCTGGCTTCACTGAGGGATTCTTCTGTGTGCCAGGACGACATTTGCACATAGAAGCCGCAATATAGATACATACAACATTTTTCATTAGGTCTCTTTGCAAGATAATCATACTTTTACCTAGCACTGTACTACTCACTACATTCGGATTCAAAGCAAATCAAAGGATTCAAAGTAATCTCGCAATAAAATTATATCAAGAAAGCATAGTAATTTTCAGTTTGAATATATGTATTTTATATGATTAACAACACTGTTCATTGTAGGGTTAATATCTATATTTGTACTTTGTATGATATGTACATTATAACGGCATATATTAATATTCAAACAATTATTACCTGTTGAACCCCGTCTGTGTGTGTATCATTGGCATATTTAATATAATTTTTAAAAGGGGCCTGACCCTCAAAAAAGGCTCATATGTACTCTCAGACATGTTTTTGCGAAGCTTTGCTCGTATCTTGGGGTAGGCACGACCCACCCGGTCCCCTTCTAAATAAGCATATATTGTGTTCCGATTTAGATAATAATTCTTTTTAATTGAAATGCCCCTATTTCATCAAAATTGAAGAGAGAAAATAAGTAGGCTACATTTGAACAATTTATATCTTTAATTAAAAATGACAGTGAGGCCGATTCAGGAAGTGCCATTTTTCTAAACGATTTTCGAAATAATCGAAAATTAAAATATCATTTTGTTATCACAGTAAAATCTTTATTCTAAGAACCAATATGAATTAAAGTTCTAATAAATTTAAGTTAAAATTAGTATATAATTAGTTTATTATATTCCATAAAACAGTAATTTGCGAAACTATCAAATAAAAATAATAAATTATGAGATAGGTTAGAGAAAGGGCATTACACATCGATGATTTTGTTCAATATAATATTGAACATTATGAATTCAACTAATAACCTACTAACATAATAAACAAAATTTCTTTCAAGTATACATTATGTCTGGAATTTTCGCGAGAAGAGATTACAAAATAATGGTTATTAAAAATTGGTTCAGGCTGTGTTTATACGAGGCTTTTGCTCTAATAGCAAATAAAAAAAATCCAAATACAGTCATAAAAAACCCGTTTCCTTTACTGCAATATTATGATAATAACG